AGGCATAACGGGGAGGTCGACAAATGCCTTTGATGTCGACCGTGGAGCATCCAGACTAGCGCGTTGAACTGACAAACAGCTGATCGGCTCAGCGCAGCAGCCATTTTAATTTAAATGAAGCGGCGATTATTTAAATTTTCCTATGCCGGGTAGCCTAATCTACATGTCTCTGTCGCCAGAGGCATGTAGTCTAGACATACCCTCAGTGCCCCAAAGTCTATGGGAGTCTTTGGATCTGGCCCAAAGCCTCCTTCCTCATCCATCCACCTGCAGAGGGAGGCAGGATGGGCCAGTGGTTAGCCTAGAATGAGCGAGACAGGACATCAGGTTCCTGTGTAGCCTTGGGCAGGTCTCTCGGGGCTAGATCCACAGCCACTCAGACCCTCAAGCCCCCACTCAGCTGCAAATTAAACTCATCCTAAGTCTCCCCCAGGGCGAGCTGTGTCCATAATGGGCAAAGCCACGCAAGTCCTGATGCAGCCATACTGCTCTGCATTCGAGGTCACGGCAACATACTGGCAGGCCCTCTCTCGAACGACCAGGCTTGGTGCGTGCATCCCATTGGGGCCAGGGGTCCACACGCTCCCTTGGAGCTGGGTGACTCTAGTGTGAATCCCCTGCCTGGAGCAGAGACAGGAGCCTGATGCTCCTACGTGCCCCAGCCACCAGGCAATAGAGCTGCCTTCTCTCCTGCCTACGGCAGCGCGAGTGAGGAGCGTCAGCAGGAGAGGCTGAGAGGGGCTCACCCTAGAATTCCCTAGAGCCAGCGGTTTGGACAGTCCACTGGGTTCAAATCCTGGCCCCCCAAATCAGCACAAGGGAGTGGAAAACAGGATCCCCTGCTTCCCTACCCACCAGGCTACGGGCTATCGCAGGGCTCTCACCCTTGGGACACAGGACCAATCTGGATTAGGCTTCTACCCCTGGTTTACGGCTGAGACACCCAAGGGGAGGAAGGTGTCTCTCCCTCTGACCCGGAGTTAGGAGCCTTAGATGCCCTGGAGGGGCACTGCCTAGGTAGCTCCTACTGCCTGGGCATTTCCCACCCGCTTGCTGCCCGGTATCTGCGTTGCCCAGTTTCAGGCCCCTAACGCTCCCCCTACAGTGCCCAGATGCCCAGCTCGGGGCTGTGAATTCTGCAGGGTGCCTAGAGCTAGCTGCTGGGGCAGCAAACCCTGGGACATCTGGGTCCCCTTGTGGGGAAAGCCCTTGTCCTCTCCATGCTCCCCTCCCCACTGGTTAAATGGGCATTTTCCTGCCTCCCCGGGGGGCTGGGCGGTGGAATGAGGCTGCGAGGCGCGCTGTGACAATGACAGGGTGGCCAAGTGCCGGCTCTCCACTGGAAAGTCAGGACACACAGGGGACCTGAGAGTGTCTAATCCTGTCTGGACTCACACAGTCTGGATACTACGAGAGGCGAGGCAGTTCCAGGTCATCACCCGCTCTGGCCCCTATACAGCCAGGGCCACCTTCATCGGGTGGCTGCAGCTCCCAGGGGTGGCTCCACAGGTGAGTCCCTCCTTACCTGAGGGGGGGGGAAAACAGCCATGGGGGGTGGGGAAAGAGGCATGGACACAGCAGAGCCTCAGAGGAAGAGGCAGAGCAGGGGTGGGGGCCTCAGAAGAGGAAATGAGGCAGGGGTGGGGACCACAGGGAAGAGGCAGGGCAGGGGTGGGGACCACAGGGAAGAGGCAGGGCAGGGGTGGGGACCACAGGGAAGAGGGCCATTGACATACGGAGGGCAGACAGGAAAGAGGAGCCAGAGACCCTGCTGAGATGTGATGCTGACAGGAGCTGATGCACAGTTGGGGCAGTTCGGGCTGCGGAGCCAGGGATCCAGTCCCAGGCCCCTCCTTCCCCGCGCAGGCTGCCCACACGTATTCCTCGGTGCAGCTGCTGGGAGCATCCGCGCTGGCTTCAGGGGCTCCTTGTGGCACTGGGCGTGCAGGACAGGCGCTCGCAGCCCCCATCCGTCGCCATGGAAAGGCCAGGGAGGCCGGCAGGGCATCCTGGGAGGAAGCGAGGGGTCTGTCTGGGGGAACGAGGCCTGGAATGGTCTCCTTCCCAAGGGAGGGGCGCGTTCCGCAGAGGTTCCCTGGGGAACGCAGCGAAGGGCACAGCCCTGCCCCTGCGAGGGGGGGGGCGATTTCCACCTCTAGTTGCCGTGACTTTGCAGCAAGGCCCTCACAGCTTGGCCCCTTATGAATGAAAACAGGGTGGTAGCCGGGTCAAATTCAGTCTCCGCCCTCGGCTCCTGTGGCCTTCCACGGTGCTGCTGGAGGAATGCAGAGAGGCCACCGGGCATAAGCAAGGGTGGCATTTCTCCCTGGCTGCAGAGGTCCCCGATTTCCACCTCTAGTTGCCGTGACTTTGCAGCAAGGCCCTCACAGCTTGGCCCCTTATGAATGAAAACAGGGTGGTAGCCGGGTCAAATTCAGTCTCCGCCCTCGGCTCCTGTGGCCTTCCACGGTGCTGCTGGAGGAATGCAGAGAGGCCACCGGGCATAAGCAAGGGTGGCATTTCTCCCTGGCTGCAGAGGTCCCCATGAACTGAACGGAGCTGCCTGGCTCTTGTGAGCCGTGCAGAACCCACCACTCGCTGTAGCTGGCCTATGGGCAGCCAGCAGCCCCTCCGTTGGCCGGGAGCGTTAAGGTCGAGTCCTGTGTCTTCTCTTATGAGCCTGGATCAGCACTTGGAGGTGGGAAATTCCTACACGTGTCTCAGACTCATAGACTTTAAGGTCAGATGGGACCATTATGATCATCTAGTCTGACCCCCTGCACAGTGCAGGCCACAGAATCTCACCCACCCCTCCCAGAATAATCCTCTCACCTATATCTCAGATATTGCTGCCTTCAAATACTTTGAAGACCCAAGATGCAGAGAATCCTCCAGCTGTGATCTGTACCCCATGCTACAGAGGAAGGCGAAAAACCTCCAGGGCCTCTGCCAATCTACCCTGGAGGAAAATTCCTTCCCGACCCCAAATATGGCGATCAGCTAAACCCTGAGCATGTGGGCAAGACTCATCAGCCAGAGAGGAAGGCGAAAAACCTCCAGGGCCTCTGCCAATCTACCCTGGAGGAAAATTCCTTCCCGACCCCAGATATGGCGATCAGCTAAACCCTGAGCATGTGGGCAAGACTCACCAGCCAGACACCCAGAAAGTTCTCTATAGTAGAGAACCACACCTCTCCACACGCCCTGCAAAGAAGGTTGGTACCACTGTCCCATTGTGCAGACAGGGAAACTGAGGCATAGGACCTGCCTTGCCCAAAAGCTTCCAGCAGCAAAACCAAGATGTCCCGAGTCCCAGTCTGATGCTCTAGCCACTGGGCCCCATTGTGCATCCTCTTGCCCAGGCTGCAAGGCCATTTGTTAGGGCCGAAGTGCTGTTGCTTTGCTCTGGGTTGTTTTAACCCGCTCAGAGGGAGGGCTTAGGGCTTTGTTCCTTGCTGTCTTTAAGTAGCTCCCCCCTCAGAATGACTGCAGCAGGTATTGATCCCGGCAGGGCAGGGCGGGAGAAGGTTAATGGAGCAAAGTTACATAAAGGGCAATGCAGTGCCCCCGGAGCGGGTGTGAGGCCGAGGTGGGAAAAGCCTCGGTCAGCAGAACATGGAGCCCTTTCCAAATTTAGCTGCGTGGTTGCCGTATCTGCCGTGGCAGTCCTCAGTGCCTGTACCTGTCTGCAGGAGGTATTGATCCCGGCAGGGCAGGGCGGGAGAAGGTTAATGGAGCAAAGTTACATAAAGGGCAATGCAGTGCCCCCGGAGCGGGTGTGAGGCCGAGGTGGGAAAAGCCTCGGTCAGCAGAACATGGAGCCCTTTCCAAATTTAGCTGCGTGGTTGCCGTATCTGCCGTGGCAGTCCTCAGTGCCTGTACCTGTCTGCAGGGGGGCTCAGCTCTCTTGCCGCAGATATGTGAGTGCACAAACTCATCCACCCTTAGCTAAGCTGGCCCCGTCCTGGCTCCCCGCTCTGTGCCACACTGGGAGGCGATCGGCCGGGCTAGCGGGTGTGCACGTGCATGGCCACCGATGAAAGGTGCGTCACCGGTACATCTGCACTGCGGACGAATCCTGTCGCAAGAGGTCGACTGTACATACCGCGCGTGCGCCCTGTCCCATGACAGTGACTCGCCCGCCCAGCCCAGCCACTGCAATGAACAGCGTCCCCCGGGTGCAGAAAGACGAGGGGCAGGTTCCGAACCCCGCACTAGTGCACCCCCTGCAAATAAAGTCGTTTCACAATGGCCCGCTTCACCCGCCCCCTTTTCACATGCATTTCCCGGCCACTGACCTTGGCGCGTCGCTGGCACAGTGCAGCACCAGCCCGGGTCTCTGAAGTGAGGCAAAGCAGGGGATGGAAATCCAGCTCCCAGCACCGCACGTTGGCGAGGAAGGACAAAATAGCAAGTTGTCCTTCCGCTAAGGCATCTGTCTGTCCGGTGAGTCTGGCTTCTTGGCTGCCGGCCCCCCGGGGGGGGTCTCTGGAGGGAGTTTAGCAGTGAGTGGAGTGCGGCAGGCAGGAGAGAGTTTTATTTTAGCTCAGCACTCCAGAGGAGCTGCCTGTCAAACAGCAGCAGCAAAAGTTAATTCAGGGCGAGTGGGGGAGGAAGGAGGGATGCGGGAGGGAGGGCGGGCAGCCTAGGGCGACAGGCTGGGGCTGTGCCAGCTGCATATCAGGTCCCTTCTCGCACTGGGAATGGGTTAGTTTTACCTCTAGGCTTCTGGGTCAGTGGTGTCAAATCACTGCCCAGGGCGTGGTGCTTCTAGGCCATGGGCTACTGCAGCCTGAGCTGGCATATAGGGGCTGCACATAAGGGCGCACGTCGGCCACTCAGCCCGAGGCCTTTAGCTCAAGGCCACAGATTGGGGGCCCCCCACCCACCTAGCGATGCCTTAGGGAGGAGTCTGGGAGGAGCCTGGCTCATTCAGTGGGGGGCAGGGGAAGGTCTGTGCACAGTAGCTTGCAGGATCAGGGCCGTTCTGCTTTCCGAGGGCCGTGGGGACGTCCCGCCATTTGAAACTGGACTTCACTGCCGTACTGCAACCAGGTGAATCTCGCCCGGGACTGCCTCCATTGCAACCCCAGGGCAGCGTGGCCCAGACACGCACAGAGACGGGGGGCCAAATTTCAAGGAGGCATCCATGGAAGGGGCAGCTTCACCCAGCTCTGGAGTCACACACCTGCACCCCCCAGGAGTTGGGAGCCTGTGGATCAGACAGCGCACCAGGCAGGGAAAACCAGTCCAGAGCGGCCTCGCCAGGGCCAGGTGCCACCCGGCAGCCAGGCTGCACAGCCGCGGCGTAAACGTCGGCCCAGAAATCGCCCCGTCGCAGCGCAAGTGTCTCAACGCCGCCCCGCAGCCTCCTCTGCCATCGCAGCTTCTGGCCAACAGCCAGGCAGGAGATCCGCAGCAGCAGGGCCTGGGCCTAGGGTTGCCAGATGGTCTCCCAAAAAATAACGGACATGCAGTACTTTTTGGTCGAGCAAATAAGGGGCACCCAGAGCAGCGATTGCAGCCCCGCCTCCTGGCTGGGAGAGGAATTGCACAGAAGCCTGGGGGGGGAGGGGGGCTGGGAGTCTCAGCCACTCTCCCCGCCCCCGCCAGGCTTCTGCGCAGTCACAGGCTCCTAGCACCAATCGTGGCCCCGCCTCCCAGCCACTCCCCCTGCCCACGCCAGGCTTCCGTCCAGTGCGCAAGCCGGAAAAAAATCAGAATACTGGACATTGCACACATCTGGTATTTTCTGATTTTTTTTACTGGACAAAGAGCACAAATACCAGACTGTCCGGTAGAAAACCAGACACCTGGCAACCCTACCTGGGCCTCCCGGGAGCAGCTTTGCAAAGGGAGCACCAAGGGAGCCAGCAGCCCCGTGGCTCAGGCAGGAGGAAGGAAACGCTCCCATGTGCTGTGTAACTCGAAGCCACCAGCCTAGGATGGTGTCTCCCCTGAGGTTCAGGGGAGGGCATAAGAGCAGGGTCCCCTTTAAGATTTCCCCTCCGTGAGCAGAGGGAATTTTGTCTCCTGCACCGACCCTGACATCACGTGAGCCACCGTGGCACCCACCTGCTACTGACATAAAGAGGTGTAGTTTTATTTATATATAAATGTAAATTGCTACACACGGGAAAGTACTAACTCAAGGGATGACTCACAAGGTGCATGGCCCTGCAGTGCAGGGATCAGGGCAGGGGATGGGGGGCTCAGGCCAGGGGGTTCAGGATTCAGGGCAGGGAGGAGCTAAAGTGGAGGGCTGAGAGGTAAGTGAGGTGACACCTCCTTGCTGGGGGGGAGGCTGGAGCTGGGCTGCCCATTCCTCCAGCGGTTCTTTGTGGGGGGTGGGCCCAGGACTGGGCTCCCCTGCTTGCTAGGGGGAAGCAGAGCTGAGCTGCCTGACCCCTGGCCAGCCAGCAGCTCTTTCTGGGAGGAAGAGCTGGGTCTGGGCTGCCCAGTGCTCCCAGCTGGCCAGCAGCTCTTGGGGTAAAGGAGTCAGGGCTGCCGGTTGGTGGCTGCCCACCTGGCCAGTGCTGCAGCTGAGAGCCAGGGGGATGGGTTTGGGAGCCACTGGGTGGCTCCAGCCCTGGTTGCTGGAGCCTCTGCCGCCACCCCCCACGTGGCCGGTCCCGTCCCCGA